CAGGAATAACCATTATATTTTTTCTGAAGCCTATTCATTGCATCTTGCACATCTCTATAGTGATCATCTGATTTGCAGAGATTTGATAGTTTGTCTCCAAACGCTTTTGTTATCTCATCACCTGTGAAACCATATGCCCCAGATAATTCATCACTTAATGTAATATCCTTAAGATTATTTAATCCTGAAAATAAACCTAAATGCGCAAACATTGTTACGCCTGTTACAAGAAGAAATTTAACTTTACTTTGTAGTGCCTTTATTACTTCAAAGAAACTCTTTAGTACGCCGTGGCTGTCATTTGCAATTTGTGTGTTCTCTTTCGTGATACCGATGACATTTAACAGTGGTGAATCATATTCGTCTATGAGTATTACCACTTGTCTATACTCATTTTTATCATCACCAGCTAGTGACGTAATTAATTCAAGAGTGGCACCCTTAACATCATAATTCGCGGTGTCGGTGTCGATGTCGATGTCATATTCCTCTCCAGCCAATTGTAATACTCGAATCAAGCTCTTTTTTAACTTTTCGGGTCCTTCATCTGATGTTAACAAAGAAAAGTCAAGCCTGATGACTGGGATTGAAGGCAAGTTCTCGCTCCATTTTTCCGCTTTATTATTGATAAAAATGTTTGGTGGATGATCTCGTATGTACAGATTCTCAAAGAGATTATATTGAACCAAGAAGAAAGATTCAACCATTGAGAGAAACATTGATTTGCCAAATTTTCGAGGCCGTGATACGAAATATTGACCACTATTTAACTCAAGCCGAGTTAACCATTCCGTTTTGTCTACATATAATTTACGATACTCGCGCACCCTTTTGAACTCTGATTCTGACACGGGGACCTTCTGATCTTTATTACTCGAATCTTGAATAACATTTGCTTCCTTTGGATCTCTATACCAAAGGCGCCTTTTTTTCATTGGTGACTCTTTGTGGGAGAATAAGGAAAATAAAAAGAAAGAACGAGCTGATTAATAAAAGATCCGCGAACTTCTTGTTCGAGAGGTAAACCATTGGAAGACACTTACCAGTGGTGGGCGGTTGTGCGATGATGCGGATGTTCTTGGAATCATTATCAAAAATGTCACCAAGACTCTCAAATGGAGTCAACCTTCTTCCTCCGAGCTCTTGTATAGTAGTATTTTCATTATTTATATCATGAGATCTGCTTTCAAGTGTTTCCAGTTTAACGTTCTTCGTATCGCCAGGAATATCTACCTTCCATAGATGCAAATCGCTGGGATCAAAACCTTTGCCTTCAAAATTATTCTTTTTCTTGTCATAGATCATATCTTTGAGTTTTGAAATGCTCATTCCTGCCTGGCCTTCAACTTCGAAGACGCTCTCAATTTCGGTACCTACCACAAAACAAAATACCATGATACTGGTGGTATATCTGTAAACGCGAAAATTCGAGAGTTAAAACAAGGTTTAAAACAGATGTTTCAGTAAATACAAATAAAGACCTTCTATCTAGACGACTATTTAAAGAGCCTTTCATTCCATTCATTTTGTATATAAATAACAGTTTTCTGTTTACATAATCTCTTAGTGAATGTTTCGACAAAAATACTATGCGTACGAAAACTTACCAAGTTTATGCTAGCTCATGCATATTCTAGCTAAAAACAGGTCTCGTACGTCCTAAGCCTCGGATTACATAATACGATCTTCACGATTGATTTGCGATGTTTGCTTTAACGAAAAAATAAATGCGCAGTACTATTTAAATACATACAGAGTGAAGATTTTTTCTTACTGCGACCACCAAAGCCGTTGTATTATTTTCTTCGTGCCTGAACTCGTTTAAAAGATACCGAAGTATCGTAGTTTGAAAGAAGTGTTGGCGAATAATTATTTAAGTGAAACATACTTCTTTTCGGTGTGCATTTACAAGAAAATGATTTCAGGCTTGCAAGTGAACGTACAGATTTCTACTAGCATCACGGAATACAAACAACATAAATTTCGGCGGAGCTTTATTATATATAACTGACAGCACATTTTTGTTTTATCTGGAATATCGATGGTTGGGACAATGAATGGAGGGATAATGTGTATTAGTAGTATAGGCAAGCGAAAAACTGGTGTGGTCTGCAGGCAATTAGTATAGAAACGCTATTTCACATTATAAAACAAGTTCATGTATTACCTAATCTTGTAATTTATTTTTTACATCAATCAATCAGTAATTCCGATGAGGATATTACCTCGTTTTTTATCTATGCTAACGAACTTTTGAATTATTCCATCCTATATAAAAAATTATTATTGAACATGTACCGTATTTTGCGGGCCACAGTACCCCCCCATGCACAGTACCCTATACAAATTTTTTTTTGGATTTATTAAATACCCGGATATTTCACATGGAGGTGTTCGCCTTCAAAATTTATAAAATATCCGGGGTATCTCTATAAATTTGATTGGTTGATAAAAAAATTGACGACGTTTATTTACAATATAAGGTGACTTCCATAATTATTGTACCACTTCGTTTTTGACTATAAAACTAAAATTTTAAACCAATTTAAAGCCTGTAATCAGATTTTTAATATATTTAAATTTGAGTATTAC